GTTCTAGATAAATATCCTTTTATAGAAGATCCACAAAAATGTTGTCAGAAGTATACCAACCTCCCCCTCTTCCCTCACTGATCACCATCAAATTCCTTCATAGGAGGACCTCACAGAATGTCAGGGGATTTCTAGGATATACTAAGATGTGGTTACCATACTCAATATGAATAATTTAGACAGGAAAGACAACTGTTCTCGAGGGTTGAATTGACTTTTGTCTTTAAATCTGGACTATACCTTGCCTACAATGGCACCAATTGACACTTAAGGACTTTTGAAGAGAAAACTCCACTATTTCTTTTCATTCTTGAGTACTCTGCTTCCATCGGAGACAGAAAATTGTCCATTTTCTTTTGACCAACCTTTGTCTCGCTCTCTCTCAATGATTGCTCTCAAGTTATCTTCTTTTTCAAGTCCCAACTCCTTCCTGCTCAATTCTGCTTCTTTAGCCAATTCCTGAGCCCTCCTTTTCCTAGCATTCATCTTTTGCTTCGATTCTCTGACAAAGGCATTATAGGATGGGACCTCTCTAGCATAAATAGCTTGCTGAATAATGTTCCTTATCCTGGTTCCTCTGTATACTGCACACATAGCACAGACTCCATGACCTAATCCATGTCCCCTTTGAAGTCCAGATAGGCCTATTTAATATCAGCCAGCTCTTCTTCAGAATCTCTGTCTTCGTGAAAGCTTGAATGTCTTATAGAGATATATTTTTAAAGAGTAACAACCAATATACCTTCCAGTCCTAATCTTGGTTGAGCACACAGCAGAAACCTCATCCACTCTCCCTGCTCATCATACACAGCTCTCTGCCACTCAGAATGCAATACTTTCCCGAGAATCTGGAAGTGGCAGCTGGCATCCTCCTTGTCGTGCTCATCCACCTGGTCTAGGTGCAATTGCAAGGACACCTTGTGGTGGCCGTGTGGGACCTTGCCTCACAGGGCACACCGGACACTGGGTAAAGGTAGGTGATAGTGAACACTTCCTTATACAGCTAGTTTAACCAATCAATCACAGCTAGTTAGATGTGACTGGAGCTTTTCACTCTTCTTGAAACTTTTACAATTAATAATTAGAGACTACTTCTAAACTTTCAGAAAAAAATTCTTTTTTTACTTCTGGGTCAACACCATTCCTGATGTCTGATCTCCACATAAATTTCATTTGAGGACTAAAAGTAAAATATTAATTTCTTCCAAACCTCCATCCTCTCTGCTTAATTATAAACAATTATTATTATATTATCGATCTATTTCTGCTCTCATGGTGTACCAACAAGCTATAAAAGCAAATTTTACTGTGCACTTACTATGTGTAATATTCTAGGATAAGTGTTTCATATGCATTATTTCATTTAATATAACAAATCTATGAGTTAGGTACTATTACACCATTTCCAGACGAGGAAAACAGTATGTAATGATGGAAAAACCAAGGATTCAAACTATATTCTTAACCACTACATGTAATTCCCATTATTATTACCTTATTACATCTGCCTCAAAAGAACATTATTTCTTATTCACCCATTTAGGAAATATTGGCAGGGGAAAGCCCCACCTCCACCCCTTTCTATTTCCACTACACCTTCCCTACTTTGCCACAGATTCCTTTTCCTTTAAATTCTTTGCCATAGGTTATCTCCTGGTAGACACCTATATATTCTGATTTCTCTATGTTCTATAAACTCTGAATTTCAACACATGATACTAACTCTGTTTCCTTGTGACCCAGAAAAGGAAGTCATTTTTTCCCCTGCAAAGGATTATTTGCTATAATCCACTGAATATAACTAAAGCACCTTCCTATATCTTTTCCTGATTATGCAAAATTCACAATCATGACAGGTTAATTTGGTTAATCTGGAACAGACTACAATCTGTTTTATAAATACTTTTCTCCTCAATTCAACTCAACATTTACTGAGCACTAACGTTAGGAAACACATGGAAAAGAAGGAAACCAGATGGCTATATAGTTTTTCTGCTAGTCACTCAAAATATAAACATTCCTACTATGTAAAAAAAATTTAACATCTGTGCTAGCGGGTTTGGCTCAGTGGATAGAGCGTCGGCCCAAGTACTGAAGGATCCTGGGTTCGATTCCAGTCAACAGCAGGTAACTCAGTTGCAGCAGGCTCCATCCCTGGCCCTGGTCAGGGCATGTGCCAGAGGGAGGCAACCAATCAATCGATGTTTCTCTCCCTCTCTATCTTTCCCCATCCCTTCTACTCTCTCTAAAAATCAATGGAAAAATATCCTTGGGTGAGGATTAACAACAACAAAAAACCATATTTAACACCAACTAAGAAAAACATTAATACACTAATAAAAATGGGCAAAAGACATAAACAAGTATTATATGAGTAAAGAAATTATATGGGCACAAGAAATCATCAATCTCCTTGGTAATAAGAAATAATTATTAAAAAGATAAAATAGAGCACAAAAAACCATTGATCTTCATAGTAATAAGAAATATTAAAAAGATAAAATACAATTTTTCATCTGTCAAACTGCTAAAGGTCAAATAAAATTACTATAAATGCTAGCTCAAATACACGATAAGCACTGCACTATTTTTGTTAAAGAAGGTGAAAGTTAATATTTTAGTTTCTTGGCATAGATTTAAGGTCAAGCACCAATTTTGGTCCTAACCTACTTCTACAGCTTCATTTTCTACAGATCCACCACTTCCCCCAACAGTTATCCCTCTCAATTCACACAGTATTTTCATCAGAACACGGAATTCTTTTTTTATTGATTTCAAAGAGAGAAAGGAAGAGGGAAAGAGAGAAACATCAGTGAGAAGAGAGAATCATGGATATGCTTCCTCTTGCACATACACTATTAGGGATCAAGCCCACATCCTGGGCATGTGCCCTGATTGGGAATTGAACCGTGATCTCCTAGTTCATGGGTAGATGCTCAACCACTAAGCAACACTGGCCAGGGTAGAACATGGAATTATTGAAAGCTAGTTGGGTTTTTTTGTGTGTGTGTCTTAAATAATTTTATTGCGATCTAATTCACATACTGTACATTTACCCATTTATAAAGTGTACAATTCAACTGGCTTTAATGTATTTGCAGTTATGCAACCATCTTCACACTGAATTTTAGAGCACTGTCATCACCACAAAAAGAGCCTCGTACTCATTGTCAGTCTCCACTTATAACCCCCTCTCCAAGTCTCTAGCTAGGGCTCTTAAATTATGTGTGTCTGTATTCAGCAGAAAATAGAAAGACTGGTCAGGTAAGGCCTTACTAATGAATAAAGCAACATTCATGTTGAGACCTATTGGATGAGAAGTTAGCCTTTTAAATCAGGTGCATGCATATTTGGGTAAGTGTGTGGTATGTATGTGCTGGGAGTGCAGATGTTTAAGTCCAGGAAAGCAGCATGTTTAAGGTAGAGAAGTGCAATGGCATATGTAATAATTCAAAAGGCCAATGTAACTGAAGTTTGGTGAGCAATCAGAAAAATGGCAAAGATGGGATTGAAGAAATGGGCAGGCAGTGTGTCCCCACAGATCAAAGAAACAGGAGGTTCAGGGTATGATGGAGGAAAAGCAAATATTAATTTGATTATAGTACTAGGGTAATAAAAAACATTTCCACACAATCCTCAGATATAAAATTTTAATTAAATTTTCCTATCCAGTTAGAGAAGTAATGTTTCCCTTTAATGAATGAAGGGATAAACAGCTAATAAGGCTGCACTGCTAATAAGCTATGTCACAAATCCCAGACATACTAGCCTAAGTCAAACCAGTATCCTTTCAACTACACAATAAGAAGTAATGAAAAATAAAGTTAAAAATACAAAGTGGATTAAAAATAAGGCTAAAGGAATATGAGCTTTATTATGGCAAAAACTAATGGAAGTGACAGATTAAAAAGATAATTTTGATGATCTCCAGAGTGCATAAGAACACTCTCAAACAGAAATTCCTTTATACAAAACAATTATCATGTATCAATCATTTTACAGTGTTTTCCCCAGAATAAGACTATGTGTGTGTGTGTGTGTAAGAGAGAGAGAGAGAGAGAGAGAGAGAGAGGAGAGAGAGAGAGAGAGAGAGAGAGAGAAAGAATAAGAATGAGAATATGTGTGGTTGAGGATAGAAGGAAGTTAAGACCATGTTCAATCAGAACATACCCACTTAAATCTGTTTTATGCTAGAGTTAGGATTTTTTTTTAAATATATTTTTACTGATTTCAAGAAGAAGGGAGAGGGGGAGAGAGAGATGGAAACATCAATGGTGAGAGAGAATCATTGATCAGCTGCCTCCTGCACGCCCCCTACTGGGGATTGAGCCCCCAACCCATGCATGTGCCCTTGACCTGAATCGAACCTGGGACCCTTCAGTCTCCAAGCCAATGCTCTATCCACTGAGCCAAACCAGCAAGGGATGCTAGAGTTTGTTTGAAAAAAAATTCTGCTCTTCAAAAACCATAGATTATAAAGGAGGTAGCACTGGCTCCAAAATCTTACTCTGAAGACCTAAAACCTACTGGCCAGTAGAGCTTTTCTTTCACCCATCAGGTTCCCTAATGGTATACACTAATTTCTTTTCAACTTTTCTGCTAAAAGCCAACCATGTACCAGGTACAGTTTATTCAATGCAATTTCAGGTAAGATTTTTGACTCCACACTTTTAGAATTAATATATAAGCCTACCATAAATTTCCTCGTATGTTAAGACATTATAACATTAAAAATGTAAGGTATAAATATTCTAAGACTACTATAAATTATTTCTCAATCACACTGATGCTCAAAAACCAAATACTACTAGTGAATATTTTATGTGTGATACTGGTAAATGTGCTTTGATGTCTACTTGGGTGACTCAAAAACCACTAAAGTAAATAAATTAACTCTTCAATTCAACTACATTTACTTAAGTGGTCAACACCTATAACAAAATCTGCAAGATAGCTTAATCATGAATACACAGAATGGTTCATTAAATATGCACACATACCTTTATCCTTCTTAAAATCCAAAGCATCTTCTTTATCGGTAACTATCTCCTTCATATTGATAATACTCTGATGAGTAAGCTGCCGAAGAATTTTAATTTCTCGAATTGCTGTAATCGGAAAGCCTTCCTTTTCATTATCGAGACGTACTTTTTTTAAGGCAACCATTTCTCCTATTAGAAAATTAAATAAAATCAAGTTACTAGCTAACAAAAACCACAGGACATTTTTCTTAATTTTAAATTTATTTTAATTCATAATATTTGTTCCTACCTCTTCAAGTTACAATCCAAAATATATATTTAGTTTCCAACATACCACATTATAATGTTGAGAGTTTAAGAAATTAGATCTCTGGCTAAATAACCTAAGAGATATTTATCCAAGCTGTGGAATACCATACAACTGTATAAAAATATAGGGTACATGCATATGTATTGTTATTTTATGTTCTCCAAGATAAATGAAAAAAGAATGATGAGAAAGAGTAGATAAATTACACTGCCATTTTTGAAAAGTAAAGAAGGAGAAGATAAATATATACAATAAGCTCTCCAAGATAAATGAAAAAAGAATGATGAGAAAGAGTAAATTACAATGCCATTTTTGAAAAGTAAAGGAGAAGATAAATATATACAATAAGCTTATCCTATATAATAAAAGCATAGTATGCAAATTGTCCCCTCAACCGGGAGTTTGTCCGGGAGTTTAATGAGGTGGCGGGGCCAGCCGGGGGAAGGGAGGGACGCCCTGGCCAGCTGTGGTGGTCGGCTGGGGGAAGGGAGAAAGTACCTGGCCAGCAGCTGCTAGGGGCCCTACCAGTGTACGAATTTCATGCACTGGGCCTCTAGTATATGCATAAAATCCCTCTGAACAGAAGAGAAAATTCTGTAGATTGCACAGGTGAGAAATGCTAAGACATATTAACTTGCCTAAAGTTGGCCAATTATCCAGTAGTGAAAGTGGGATTCAAAATCTGGTTTAGCTGTCTCAAAATTTGCTCTTCCCACTGCTCTAATAGCCTAATAATTTACACATATTTGTGTCAGATAAACCCTAAATAATAAGTAAAATACACACATGCATATATACAAATTCTATTATAAGAATATATTCATCACTATAATAAAGGTTTGTTCGTTCTACTTTGGAGAAAAAAGAATTCTGTATTTACAAATTTTTTAAAAGAAAAATGTTTTTACCTTTAGTAATTAAAATGTATTTGACTCTTTTAAAGGGAATTCTAAAATGTGGGACTTCTTGTTTTACTAAACAGGTTTAAAGGTTATAATTTAATCTGTTTTTGATAGAGCAGAATCATCATTATCAATATTATTACTCCACGCCGTAAATGCCTTCAGGAGGTTCTAAGCATAAGGTAGTCCTCCCCGTATTAAATGGCCTGAATAGCTATGCTATTTTAATCTATTGGTTATTTCAACAAGGAATTATAAGATTATACTCTGGCTCAGAGCATTACTTTGTAAAATATACAGCCTCTGACAGTTACATTTTCCTCTTCTGCAAGGCCTTTTAAAACTTTCTCTCAGGTTCCTGATTATGTTCTGAAAGATTCAGCTGCTAAATCTGGCCTCCAAATAAAGGGTAATTTCTACAGAAGAAAAAAAAAAAGATTTTGGCCAAAATAAGTGTTGTATAAGGCTTACTACAACAAGATTTATTACTAAGTCTAATAACATCAATATACTTTTTTTCCTCTGATTACTGACAACGTTAAGAATTTATTCACCATAAAAAAAGAAACCTAAATCCCAGCATACTACATATTACAAATACTAAACACTTTTAGAATATAAATATGCACACCCACTTACATGTACTCAATTATTACTTAAGTGCATATATAAAATAACAAGATGAAACAAAAACATAATAAAAATTTAACTGTTTTCCTGAAAACTGCTGAAGTTAGTTATTCATTAGAAAAGAAACACAAATACAGTCCATAGTCCTAAAGATCCACACATTTGGCATTCTTACCAGTGTCTTTATCCCTGGCCTTGTAAACTTGTCCATAGGTTCCTTCTCCAATAATTCCGATGATATCAAACTTATCCACGCATCGTTTTCCCCAGTCAATATCTTTTTCTTTGATTTCACCATAGCGAGGCCCACATATTCTATCAAATATAGTTCTGAAGTTTTTATATACAATCAAGCAAACTGAATAAATTGTTAAATACTCAATCTCCTCCCACCACCTAATCCTACATCCTTTATTTCCCCATACCCTTCCACATTTGAATGCAAGTAACTCCGGGATTTGGTACTATAAAATATCATGAAAGTCAAGGTATCAATCTCCACACTGACTCTTCTTTTGTACAATAGCACTTAAACTGTGGAAGAAAAGACGTAAAGCTTATATGAAGGACTTTCAGAAATAAAACCTCATTTGCAGTGAGTGGAAAAAACCAACATTGGTATGAAGAGCCAAAGTTAAGTTCTCTAACCAACCTCCAGAAAGTTTTCTTTTTCATTCATTGACTATATATATCTGCTTTCAAAACACAGAATTTTGATAATGAGCATTACCAAAAATCTAACTATAAGGCTCACTGACAAATTTAGACTTATGGTAGATAAAATTATCTTGAAAATGGAAACACCAGAAAGACTTTAGTCTGACAGTACACAAGTATTAATAAAATCAACACTCAGGAATCCACACTTTAAGTGTGTGTGCGTTTATGTGTGTGTTATACATATGATATTTGACATTCTTTAAAAAAATGTAGTTTTGTAGTATTTTAATATTCTATAGTAACAGAAATTCATATAATGGAATAAAGCTATTAATACTCAAAGAAAGACTATTTTTAAAAGTTTTCTAGCTTTCTGCTCCATACTAGAAAAATCATCTTATATTCTTACAATAGGTGCTACCTGAACAGCAATGCTTACAACGGATGTAACTCTAACACATTCGATTGGTTAAGTTAAAAAAAAAAAAGAAAGAAAGAAATCAACATTCTCCCTGCTTGACTGATGCAGCCAAGGAAAGACCAGCAGCTTGCCCATTACTAATTTTGTTTGGGATTACTTAATGCTAACTACCACCTGTCCAATTTCAGTGTTTCTGTTATTAAAATATCTTCATTATAAAAGTTATCTTTAACACATACAATAACCCCCAAAATCAATACATTACAAACTGTGAGAGAAAGTTAAATTTAATTTTATTAGTCATTTTGAATAGGTATGCAGGCAACTAAGAAATTTTTTTCAAAACTCTAATAAGAGTTTATTCAGATATTTAAGTCGAACAAATAAATACACTTTTTATTATTTTAAATCTTAATTTTGTGTTTTATAAGGATCCAGAATCACCTCTGGTCAATTTAAGAGCAGGTAGAAAGCAAGCACATACTTAGGCCTCCTTTTATTATGTAACTGTGTTGCTGTTTTCTTTTCCTCTGGACTCTTTGAGAGATCATCTCCTCCTGGTAGCTCAGGGGGCAGTGGTAAATCAGCAAGTAGACATCGTAATTTCTTTTCTACTTCTTTTTTAACTGCTTTTACTGAAATATTTCCTCGTAAGCTAAAAAACAAAGGAGTCAGACAAAAATAAACAAAAAACGCAAACCAATAAAACTTTATTTCACTGAAAAATAAAAATGCAGCCATGTCTTATATTTAAGTAGCATACAATGGCAAAATACTGAACTATGTTTCTTATTTTCCAGATAAAATATTATACTATATTCAAATGCAAATTTAAAATTAGGCGGTAAAAAACTATGTATAATTTCATAACTAAGGAAATTTGAACAAAGTATGGATTATCAATATTGGCTCATTAATTTTAACCAATGTACCATACTAATGTTGTTTATACTGAGGAAACTGTGTGCAGGGTATATGGCGGACTCTTATTTTTCTGTAAAAATCTGTGTATTTTTAAAAATAATATATAATTACTATAAGGCTATATTAGAACAAAAAGTAAACGGTTTTACAAGAAAATTAATTTTATAATAGCATTTGGTTTTATTCCAGTGAAGAAACAAAAGTTGTTTTGTTGTAAGAAATAATAAAACTACAAGCTATTATTCATCTTGCCCATTTAAATAACCACAAACAACTAATTTAGCTTCATCCCTTTTCAGGTTAATTTTTCTAAAATCAAACATTGACTCTTTTAAAACTTTTTTAAGGCTCTAGCTTACTAGAATTGCTGGTGAAAATTTTAGCTTAGTTATTAGTTTAGTACTTTTTATGAATGGATAAAGAGCTCTGATTTTTAAAGTACTATATCTACCTTGGTGACTCATTATTTTAAACCTCTCAGATATTACAAAATCTTTTATCTAATAATATGACATGTTGAAAGAGAATCTTAAATTGATAATAAAATTTGGACTTAATATACTTTCATTGCAGTTATGAGTCCAATAATGAGAAAGTTTAGTGAAACTACACTGCTGTAGTCAGAAGTTACTAAGAAGTTATCAAAATATATGATTTAATTTCTTACAATAAAACTCTTACTAATTTTGAAAATTAATATTATTGTATAAAAAAATTGATCCTTTTCTTCATAATCCTGTTACTCACCAGAAGGTTCTTTAACAGAAAAAAACATGCTCAAAAGAAGGTTTGTAGTTTTATTTGATTTTATTTATTTACTTGTTTGTTTTAAAGTAATGGTATCAGAGCCTACTCTTCAATTTTACTGTCTCCTATTACAGATTGTATACCTCTATGTGCTGGGTATTACATAAGGCACTGGAGATTTAACAGCAGAAATAATAACAATTAAGACACAGTTCCTCTCAGAAAAGAGCTTACAGTTTTTTTAGAAGACAGTCAGGTAAGCAACAGGATAAATACTACACAAATGGACTCCCAGAGTAATGTGATATCTAACGGGCATTTTATTCAGGATTGAAAGACAATAAAAGCTTCTTTCTAGAAAAGGTACAATTTGTACTCTGTCTGAAAATACTCTTATTAAAATAATTTATTTAGAAGACTAAGTTGCTAACTTGTAATTAGGTTTTAGTCAAAAATTCCCATTTATCTGAGGATTCAAATCAACTTTTTTGGGGGGAAAACTAAACTAAAAGTCTTAACTTTACTTATAACTTAAAATTTAAAAGACCGCCTATATTCCAATATGTCATTATATGAACTATTAAGTTCAGCAAGATTCACAGATTTAAGAGAAATGAAATACTGTTTTTTAAGAACATTACATAATTAGAAAACATTGTATTTTCACTGAATATCTGCAATAACCTATTTGAAAATGTGATTTTTTAAAAGTTTCCATATACTACAGCATTAAAAATAAAAAGCATTAATAAGAAATGTACAAGACTAAGAGAAGAAAATTGAAACATTTGACTGATGAAAATAAATTTGACTGAAAAGAAACCATGTTTTTGTATGGAAACTATAATACCGTTAGTCTCCAAATTAACCTATTATATTTTTTCAAAATATATATTTTATTCATTTTTTACAGAAAGGAAGGGAGAGGGATAGAGAGTTAGAAACATCGATGAGAGAGAAACATCAATCAGCTGCCTCCTGTACACCTCCTACTGGGGATGTGCCTGCAAACAAGGTACACGCCCTTGACCGGAATCAAACCTGGGACCCCTCAATCCTCAGGCTGACGCTTTATCCACTGAGCCAAACCGGCTAGGGCTTAACCTATCACATTTAATAGAGTCCCAAACAAAACCCAAGGAATAGTCTTTTTTAAAAATATGTTTTTTTATTGATTTCAGAGAGGAAGGGAGAGGGAAAAAGAGAAACATCAATGATGAGAATCATTGATCAGCTGCCTCCTGTATGCCTCCTACTGGGGATCGAGCCAGAAACCTGGGCATGCATCTTGCCCCGAATCAAATAATGACCTCCTGGTTCATAGGTTGGCGCTCATCCACTGAGCCACACCAGCCAGGCAGGAATAGTCTTTTAAATAAAACTTGACAAGCTGACTGAATAGAAAATTTGTCTAAGAATAAAAGCAAAAAACTACCAAGAAATTTCTGAAAAAGAATAATAAAGTGAAATTTGCCCTGTGAGTCACCTATCCAAAAAAATCTCAAACCAAAAGCCAAAGGCTTGGATGAAGTCAAAGAATATGTATTACTTTCTATACAATGTTTTGTAAAAGACTATCAACTATCAATACTTTTAAATCAGAAGATTTACATAAACATTCAGATTCCAGACTTCTTAAAAAACAAACAAGAACACTCTAACAACAATGGTCCTAAATTCATGTACAGCATCACTGAAGCTAAAGATGAATAGCAGGGCTGTTCATTAATCAGTAATTGATTCCATCTCTTCACGTTCACATTATCCCTACCCGCATAATAGAAATTTGAGTTTGAGAGCCAATATGCCATGAAAAGATACTGGTAAAGAAATAATAAAATATGATAATAAAAGAGAGTCCGGAAACACAGATAGCTATAAGAATTTTTATATATGGCACCACAAATCAGTGAAATTGAGCATTCAATAAATGATGTTACTAATTGGATTTATTAGTCCACAGGGTGATAGTGGGGAGACGTATCTTCCTTCTTCATTTAAAAACTAAAGACAAATATTTGTAAGATGTAAGTTAACCTTTTTATATACTCAGAAGTTTTAAAAGAAAAAGAGCAGATTTCACTACAATTTTTAAAATGGAAAACACCAATGTAGCCAAGAACGAAACAAATAAATCTCAAAGGCAATCAAACAGACTGAGGCAAAGGTCAAGATCCCTAACATAAGGAGTATCTACAAATCAATCAGAAAAAGGAAAACAATCTTGAGAAGCCAGCATAAGATATAAGCAAGCAATTCACTGGAAAAAAATAAATAGCCAATAAATATTCAAAAAGATGCTATGTCTCAATAATCAGCAAAATGCAAAATTAATCATTACATATTTTAAAGATTATCAAAAATTCAAAAATGGCAATGCTGTTTAAGAAATTTCATACATGTGGGTGCATAAATTGGTACATAGTTTTATTGAAATACAATTTGGCAGTTTCTATCAATTCTTAAATGTTCATAATTTGATCTTCCAACTACCCTAAAAATAACTCACATGTACATGAAATATTAATATAAGGTGAGTTTAATAGCAAACAAATATGAATCTAAGTATCCATTAGTCAACAGCAGAATAGTTAATGAGAGCATGATGCATCCATTCCTATAAGTAGGAATACTGAACCTAACCTAAAATACTCACTAGGAAACAAGGAAGACTCACTCAAACACCAATGGCTGCCCTAGCTAGCCGGTTTGGGTCCGTGGATAGAGCATCAGCCTACGGCCCAAAGGGTCCCGGGTTAGATTCTGGGCATATGTACTCAGGTTGCAGGCTTTTCCTCCTTCCCCGTCAAGGGCCCTGGTCGGAGGTGTGCAGGAGGCAGCCAATCGCTGTATTTCTCTCATCTCAATGAAGTTTCTCTTTGTCTTTCCCTCTCTCTTCCACTCCCTCTAAAAATTAATGGAAAAATATCCTCATGTGAGAATTAACTAAAACAAAACAAACAGCAACAACAAAATGGGATCAAGTTAAAAGGACAAAGGAGTCAGCTTTAAAAAGTCCCCACAGGCCAAATTTCCGACACTTGGAGCATCAAAAGGAAGAGTGACTATAACTGGTCTTGAATCAACCTCTGACCACACACATTAGTAGTAGAACTCAGGGTCCTAAGAAACATCTTTGCCCTGGTTGGAGCATTGTCCCAGGTTGAGAGTTCAATCCCTGGTCAGGGTGCATGGAGGAGGCAATTGATCGATGTTTCTCTCTCATATTGATCTTTCTTTCTCTCTCATTCTCCCCCTAAAATCAATGAAAACATATTCTCAGGTGACGATTAAAAAAAAGAAGAAGAAACTTATATATCCACGAAACATACAAACACATTCAAAGAAATAAAAGCAGAGACACAACAAATAGAAAAAAAGAAAAGACAGATCAAAAGAAATTTTTTAATGACCAAGTATGAAATGTGTCACCATCTCATTAAAAATAGATGCACAGAGCTCTTTTCCTCCCTGGCTGCTTAAAGATCAACCTCCATCATGAATGACACAGTAACTATCAGGACCAGGAAGTTCATGAGCAACAGACTACTTCAGCGGAAGCAAATGGTCATTGATGTCCTTCACCCTGGGAAGGCAACAGTACTCAAGACAGAAATTCGGGAAAAATTAGCCAAAATGTATAAGACCACACCTGATGTCATCTTTGTGTTTGGATTCAGAACTCACTTTGGTGGTGGCAAGTCCACTGGCTTTGGCATGATTTATGATTCCTTGGATTACGCAAAGAAAAATGAACCCAAACACAGACTTGGCAAGACATGACCTATATGAGAAGAAGACCACAAAAACACAGAGAAAGGAACGCAAGAACAGAATGAAGAAAGTCAGGGGCACTGCAAAGGCCAACATTGGTGCTGGCAAAAGGTGAGCTGGAGATTGAACTACAGAAGGAGTAAAGATTCTTCGGTGACTTTATCTGTGATTATCTGTGCAGATTTTTCATGAGAGGATTAATAAACTATAAACCTAAAACACACACACACACACACACAAAAAAAAACAGATGCACAGAGAATATCCTCCTTGAGCATTCACATGGGTATGTCCTGAGTTCTTGAAAATACCACCAGTAAAAATTTATCCCTAAAGCATGTATGAAAAACAAAGTAGAGACAAGTCTCACTGGTCCGTAATCACTGAATTCTCAGGTACCAATAAGTGACTCAAATCTGCACTCAATTGTGCTGAAAAGCCCATTTCAGCACTTATGAAAATTCCAAATCACTACTATGAACCTTCAATACTCCTAGATAACAGTCAAACCTGGAATTACCACAATTATAGTAGTATAATGGAATAACACCAAATTAAATTGAAAGGGGTATCTTGGTAACATTTTTTTATTGTAGGATAAAAGGGCCTCAGAAGGCATGACACAGGAAACTTTTTTTTTAAGTTATAAAATTTTCATAATGCTAACCAAAGTGAGCACTTGAAAGAACTGCCCACGTGGTGTTTTTATCTGCTTGTTTTGGCAGAATTCTTTCAGTTAGGAAAATTGTCCATAAAGTTGCTTCTCAATAGAAAGAAGGAAAACAGCTCTAATTTCTTCATAAAAATGGAAAAAATTAAGTGGCATAATAGGCAGATATAACACAATAGCATAATGCATCTATCCTAGCATACATTTAAGAAATTTACTCATATTCTTACCTTCATCCTCTTAAAAATAAAATGTTTCAAAATAAAAAGCAAGCCACATCCCCAATATTCATAATAGAAATCTGTAAATATATTAAAGGAAAGCATAACCACATTATGGGTTTTCTGTAATATATAATCAATCCCTAATTGCAAAAAAGTTAAAGTCAAGAAAGACTAAAGGGATAAATTCATAAATCCACCCAAACTGGTAAATTTAAAAGGCCACTAAAGAAACTTAAAAAACCAAGACACATGCTTTATATTACCCAGTACAGACTCCCTCATAAAATGTCCTGTCTCTCAGCCCTAACAGGTTTGGCTCAGTGGATAGAGCGTCAGTCAATGGACTGAAGGGTCCCAGGTTCAATTCCGGTCAAGGGCATGTACCTTGGCTGTGGGCACATCCCCAGTAGGGGGTCCCAGGTTCAATTCCGGTCAAGGGCATGTACCTTGGTTGCCGGCACATCCCCAGTAGGAGGTGTGCAGGAAGCAGCTGATCAATGTTTTCTCTCATCAATGTTACTAACTCTCTATCCCTCTCCCTTCCTCTGTAAAAAAATCAATAAAATATATATATATATATATTTTTAATGTCCTGTCTCTGATACTATCATCAAGGAATATTAAATCAAAGTATATACCGGCAGTTCTAATTCTCAAACTCAAACTGATATATACATTGTATTCCAAGACATTGGCAAATTTTTCCAGGGAATTCTTAGCATAAGCTATAATTATGCTAAGAATTATACAATGTGCTTCATTTTAAGACATATATTAGAAAATTAATCCACATAACATTTTTTGTAAAGTTTTTTTGGGGGGGGAGTCAAATAATTTCTCACTTCAAATTTACATATTTTTTTCTTCAAATAGTTATTGACCTGCCCTAGCCAGTTTAGCTCAGTGAATAGAGCATTGGCCCATGGACTGAAGGGTCCTGGGTTCGATTCCAGTCAAAGGCACATACACTGGCCCTGGTCAGGGTGCATGCAGAAGACAACCAATCAATGTGTCTCTCACATCAACATTTCTCTCTCTCAGTCTCTCCCTCTCTCTAAAAATCAATGGAAAAATATCCTCAAGTAAGGATTAACAAAAAATAATAATAATAAACAGTTATTGACCAAATTTTCTGCACTTACCTATCAGCATCTTTATCTTCAGGCAGCATGGGAGGCAAAGGTAATGGTGGTAATGTAGAGGTCACTAGAGCCACATGTTGTTCCTTCTCCTTGGCTCCTGTGCTTGGTGTAAGTGGTTTGGTTTTCTCTTTAAGAGATACTGGTTCCTCCTTTGTAGCAGCAGATTTACTCTCCTTCCCAACTGCTTTCTTGGCGGTTTTATCTACAATCAAATTATTGTCCACCTTTGTTACCTGAATAAGTGGCTTTGTTTTTGCCTTGTCATTTTTTAAAGTTCCACCACTTGAGGGAGAAGGTGCAGGCTCAATCTTAAGTTTCTTCACATCCTTCACATGGTTTGTTTGTGATGCGCTGGCACCAGTTTCTGTGTTCCCCTTGGTAGGAGTAGAAGTGTTTGAGGCTTTGGCAGCTTTGGCAGCGGCCTCAGCCGCCTTGGCTGCCTCTGCAGCTTTCGCTGCCTCTGCAGCTCTTGCTGCCTCTGCAGCTCGTGCTTTTTTATTCTTGTTCAATTCAGCTGCCAGGCTACTCTTCAGAGTTAGTGTGCTAGGAGAAATGCTAGAATGACGACTTCTGGATCTAGACAGTCTGTGCCTACTACGAGATCTTGAATGCCTAGAAGAATATGGGCTTCTGCTTCGGGATTTGGCAGACCGCCTGGTGGAAAATAATTAAGATTTAGTTAGTAATTCAGAAAAGTTCAGTTGAAATTTATAAAAACTGCTAACTCCAGCCTGTGAAATGAAAGATTTATTTAATTTCAAAATCATAATATAGTTTTTGTGGGAGGATTTTTAAAAAACAAAAAGTGCTTTTAAGTAGAATATTGTCTGGTGATCTGGTGGCTATAGTTTTACTGAAACTAGAGCGAATGTCTGAGTATCTTGACCTAGCCTACAAAAAGCTCAAAGGTGAGGTTGGATGAAAACAGATTCTGAGAGAAGAAATACTGTTAAGAATTAGGAGGAAGTCCATCAGGTGCGGCTCAGTGGATGAGCACTGACTCATGAACCAGGAGGTCATGGTTCGATTAACAGGGCTGTGAGCTCGATCCCCAATTGGGGGGCAGGGGGGGGCAGTAAGAAGGCAACTGATCAAATGATTCTCTCTCATCATTGATGTTTCTATCTCTCTCGCTCCCCCATCCTCTCTGAAATCAATAAAAACATTAAAAACAAAACAAAACAGAAAACAGAAGAAAACAGAAGCAGGCGACAAGGATACCAGGGATAGCAGTAGCAGGGTGACTGATCTTTTACCAGGGAGATGATCTCTACATCTCAAAAGCATCTTCACCCATTAAGTTCAGAAGTAGGTCTGTCTACAAGAGTGAAAAAGACAACACCTGTCATTAGGCAATAAGTAAAAGTCTCTAAATCTTGGGAACTACTTAATGACTGTGCAATTCACGTCTCAGAAATTATTGGAGGCCTGGCCGGTTTGGCTCAAAGGTTGAGCATCGACCTATGAACCAGGAGGTCAAGGTTCAATTTCCTGTCAGGGCACATTGCGGGCTCAATCCCCAATGTGGGGCGTGCAGGAGGCAGCCAATCAATGATTCTCTC